ACTTCAAACTGTACTACAAAGCAGTAATAATTAAAACAGCATGGTACTGGAACAAAGGCAGAACTGCAGACCAATGGAACAGGGTTGAATACACTGACATCTCTCCTCAATCATATGCTCATCTAATCTTTGATAAAGGTGCAAGTAATGTGAAGTGGAGTAAGGAAAGCCTCTTTAATAAATTGTGTTGGCATCACTGGACGGCTACATGCAAAAAAATAGGCTCAGAACTCTGCCTAACACCATGTACAAAAGTAAGATCAAAATGGATTAAAGACCTCAACATCAGACCAGAAACCATAAGGTACATTGAAGATAAAGTTGGCAAAACCCTCCATGACATTGAAGCTAATGGTATCTTCAAAGATGCCACGCCACTGGCCGAGCAAGTGAAAACAGAGATAGATAAATGGGACTATCTTAAACTAAGAAGCTTCTGCACCTCCAAAGAAACAGTGACCAAAATACAAAGACAGTCTACAGAATGGGAAAGGATATTCACCGAATACACATCTGACAAGGGGTTGATATCCAGGATATACAAAATACTGGTTAAACTCCACAAGAAGAAAACATCCAACCCCATCCAAAAATGGGGCAATGAAATGAACAGAAACTTTCTCAAAGAAGAAATCCGAATGGCAAAAAAGCACATGAGAAAATGCTCTACATCATTAATCATCAGGGAGATGCAGATCAAAACCACAATGAGATACCATCTCACACCTCAGAGACTGGCCCACATTCAAAAGAACAAAAGCAACCAATGCTGGCGTGGATGTGGCGAGAAAGGGACACTCCTTCACTGTTGGTGGGAATGTCCACTGGTGCAGCCCTTCTGGAAAACAGTATGGACGATTCTCAAAAAATTAGAAATTGAGCTCCCATTTGACCCAGCAATACCACTCCTGGGAATATATCCCAGAGAGGCAAAAATGTATAGTCGAAGTGACATCTGCACTTGTTTGTTCATTGCAGCACTCTTTACAATAGCCAGAAACTGGAAGAAACCTGAATGCCCAAGAACAGATGACTGGTTAAAGAAACTTTGGTACATCTACACAATGGAGTACTATGTAGCTGTTAGAAAAGATGAAGTCATGAAATTTACATACAAGTGGTACAATATGGAAAGTATCATGCTAAGCGAAATGAGTCAGAAAGAGAGGGATAGACATAGAAAGATTGCATTCATCTGGGGGATATAAAGTAACAAAGTATGAGATTAATACCCAAGAATAGCTGAGATCAGCACCAGGAGGATTACTCCATAACTTAGAGGCCAGCTGGGTATCCTAGAGGAAAGGGCAGTTCAGATAGAGAAGGGAGCACCAAATAAAGGATGTTTGGAGGATCCTCCCAGGAGGGGAGATGCATGTCGAAAGTAGACTATGGACTGAACATGTTTGCCACTCAATGCCTCTTTTCAGACCACAACACCCAAACGGAGAGAGAGAACACAGGGGATTGCCCTGCCACAGAGACAGGGGGGATGGGGGGATGGGGGTGGGAGGGATATTATCCATGGTGGTGGAAAATGGGCACTGGTGGAGGGATGGGTATCTGATCATTGTATGATTGAAACCAAAGCACAAAAAATTGTAAATCTACAACTTTAAAAAAAATAAAATAAAATAAAGGGAAAAAATTCAAAAAAAAAATAAATAAATAAAAATAAAAAGGGAAAAAAAAAGAAAAAGAATGAATGAGTAAAAGTAAAAAAAAAAAAAGATTATCTGGTTCAATTTTGTCCTTTTACAGATGAGGAAACTGAGACCAAGAAATATGGAGCTTCTTGCTCATGGTTACACAAAATTATACTATGCCTAATTGGTGCATGCTTGAGAATGCATATAGAAATGTTATATGTTGAGACATAAATTGCATTGAGTCAAGTCTTTGTATGTTCTTCAACTTACATTTGTGCTGGGATATTGGGTAGAGTACCAGAGGTGAGTAGGTATGTGGATGTATCTGAAATCTTCACTGTATATACTGACCTGGCATTTGTTTCTGGTTTAGACATGTCTGGATTCTTAGAAGAGGGAAATACTCTGACACTAATGTCGTCTTCTATCACAACTTCTCTGACCTTGACTCAGAAGTTTTTAATCAAACTTTATGTATTAGTTTCTTTATCTGAGAGTAGAGTGAGTTTTTAGGCTGATTTTCAGAGGATAGTTAACTGATTAGTAATTAAAATATGCTATGGGAAGTCAGAATTAGAGGATCTCTGAGGCTGAGATATAGTTTTATGAAGTTGTGGTGTAGCTCACTCTGCCTGGAGTTTCTTTCTACTCAGGGAAATTTTGATATCTTCAGTATTGTTTTATTGTTGAATATCCTATTCTAGTATTATTGCTATTTTAAAAATGTTATCAAAGGAGGCATGAATTCTCTCTTACAATCAGGAAAAGAAAGCTGTTAGTCGAAGTCCAAAATCATCCTCTAAGGCAGACACCAATGTTATAAACCTACTTTGTTATAATATATTGATTTTTATGTCTAACTTTGTTTTAAATATTTATTGATAAGCCTTCTGATCAAGTAATAAATTAATTATCTGTGGATGCAGGCTTAGCCTGGCCCCTTATTGTGATTCTCAGCTGGTTGGTCTGGACTCTCTCTGTGAGGGCTTGATGATGCAATATCTGTATGTTAGGTAGCCTGTAATTTCTCTCCCTGACCCTGGTTATTTAATTTTAATAAGAAATTGGAGGACAATGATTTGTAACACTAGAAGTGTTCTAAAATAAAATATAAGAAGAGTAATGCTCTTAGACGTTAAGAGCACTAGTCTTTTGGCTACCTGTGCCATTTATGTAGAGAAAGTTACATGTTTCTCATTCAGTGGCAGCTATCTTTATTCTTTTCTCATTATTTTTGTAGAAAAACTAATTTTTCTCTTGTTATTAAATGGATATTAAGAATAAAAACTGTGGACAGATTAATTTAGTTTCTGATCTTTTGGTCAGCGACTTTTAATCTTTGGAAATGAAACTATAAACTAATTGAATGTGTGGGATTGAAAAAAGACTTATAGGACAAAAAGGGTCCTATTTCCTTGGGTGACAGAACCTGCTCCTAAAACAAAAAATAATGGCTATTTAAAATGTTTGGAGTACAAGATCCCAAAAGTTGTTATTTTATATGAGACTGGGTATAAAAGAAAGATTAATAGCTAGATCATTACTAAGTGAATTAACTTTCTCTTTAAGAATAACTTTACATGGTTACGACTTATGCTTAGTTATTTTAGCATATTTGATTAGATTTTAATGTTATGTTTAAAGAAAAACATTGTTGAAAATTCAGAATCCTTTTAAAATTTCAAGATAATGAAATATTAGTGTAATTTATGTTGAGAGTTTGTGAGATATGTTCTATACAATCTTTGATTTGTACTTCTTAGGAAAATAAAAGTTTAGCATTATGACCATATCTAAAAGTAGAAAGTTTTGACATTCTTATAGCGCCTATATGCTGAGATATACACTAGGATATTTAAAATAAAATGGTTTATATTATGATTCATTTTCACAAGAAGGTTAAAAAAATATATTGGGCTGGAGAGTCAGTACAGGATTGAGGCTTATCTTGCACAAGACTGCCCCCAGGTCTATCCCTGTCCCTACTTCCCTAGCACTGCCAAGAGTGACCCCTGAGTACGAAACTAGGAGTAAACCCTTGACTATGGCCCTCAAGTCTAAAAAATAAGTAAATAAAAATTACATATAAAGCAATTCATAAATTCATGGTTGCTTTATTCTAATGGCAGTAACTTTCCTCTGCAGGGCCAGAGAGGCAATTTCCCCCCTAGCCCTCTTGGGTCTTTCGGGGCTGGTTGATCAATCAAATTAATATCAAATATCTTAAGAGGAAAGATGAACACATTTAATTCTATCCATATAAAAATCTACATGGATTTCAATTATAATGTAAATGGACTAAAATGAAAGTGTTTGACTTGAGGGACTTCCTAAGACAAGGAGAAGATGATTCATAAAACAGAGATCACATAGTCTGTGGCATGTTTGCCCTTGTATGTAGCTAGGTTTTTCTGATGGGTTAATTCAGGTGAAAACGTTCATTTGAAGCAGTACTCTAATCTTTGTTCCTCTAGACAATCAAAGGAGTGGTAAAGTTTCTCTTGGGCCTGTGGCCTCGGTTGACCTTAGCACATAATAATCCACACATTGAAGTGACATGTTTAGGAAAACACAATTCTGAATGTCTTAGGGAGGCCAACCCTTTACCTCTCTAGCTATTTCCTGTATTTAATACATTGCTTATAATCCAAATAATGTTTCAATGCTTAGAGTAGAAAGTCCCAAACAACAATAAAATAAAACTGCAAGATAAAAAATAATCTTCGTCTCAATGAAAGCCCAGGATCCCAGTCCAAAACTAGCATACGGAACCCAAGTACCTTCTTCACTGCTCTTCCATTCTCTACCAGGCATGTCAAAAGCCATCCCTAGTCTGATGGCAGCTGGGTCTCTAGCCATCAGACTACATGTAAGGTAGAAAAAAAAGGGAAATTAGAAGGCCTGAGAGAGGACCTCTTCTGAGTCAGCTCTCTTTGAGCAACTCTTAGTAGACTTTTTGCCAGGAGCTCCACTAATCTCTCATTGGTCAGTACTTAGCCACATGGTTACACAGAGCTGCATTGGAATCAAGGAATGTAGTTTTAAATTCTTGGCAGGAAAATAGATACCTAAAAGTCAAAGTTTTGTTGCTAAGGAGAGAGTAGAGAATGATGTTGAGAAAGACAGTACAACTGTGTGGGGTTTTTTTTTTGCTTGTTTGTTTTGTTTATATCATGTCCTGGGTTTGGGGACTATCTTTCAAAACACCTCTTTTTGCTTCTGCTACGAGCCATGGTTTCTTAATTTAGAAATCTGGCTTAATTTAGAAGTCTTGTTTCTTCTGTGAAATATCATTTCTTTATTTGGCAATCTTGTCTGACTCTTGCTTTCTTCTTCCCTCTTGTCTTTCAGCTGTTTGGGAAAGAAGTAAGGTTTAGCTTTCTCCATGTTCACCATGAGCGTGACACTTTCCCCCCTGAGGTCGCAGGATCTAGACCCCATGGCTACTGACGCTTCCCCCATGGCCATCAACTTGACGCCCACTGTGGAGCAGGGCGAGGGAGAAGAGACAATGAAGGACATAGATCCAGACCAGCAGTATGAAAAGCCGCCCCCCTTGCACACAGGAGCTGACTGGAAGATTGTCCTCCACTTGCCTGAAATTGAGACCTGGCTCCGGATGACATCTGAGAGAGTCCGGGACCTGACCCATTCTGTCCAGCAGGACTCGGATAGCAAACATGTGGATGTACATCTTGTTCAACTGAAGGTAGGGTCTGTCTCTGGGCCCAGGCCCACTCCTAACACAAATTCATAAAAGAAAGTATCACCTCAAGTCTAGGCTCTGGATTTCCAAGAAGGAGATATTCAGAAAGGAAAATGAAGAGCAGGTTTAAACTCATTATCCTTGTAGATCAGTATGGGCAAAATTCATGCTTTCCTTATTTTATTTCTTGTGCTGATTATCTAGAATATAACTGATTTAGGGCATAACACAAAATATGCGATGGGAGGGGTGTTTCATGCCATATCACAGAAATCAGTTACAGTGAATAAAAACTATTACAAAAATTCGAAGATAAAGCATTAGACTGAGTTAGGATTGTGTATATGTGTTTATACACAATATATTGTCATCTTCGTTGAAGTTGTTGCTGACTTTGTGACAAACAGTAGATGCTGGCATGGTTGAAGGACCATATTCTCTTTTTCATACCTTTTATCCAGATAGTCCATCATGGAAAACAAAGTTGACTTCATAAGAACTCTAAACTTGAGACAGCTAAAAAAAGTATGTGACTTCTTCGAGAGCCCTTAAAAAGCCAGACTGTTGATAAAAATGAAATGGAGGTCTGAGAAAAGAGTGCTATTAATAGAATTTTTGGGCTAGGGACCAAATATATCGTCTAATCTTGTCCTACCATAACTATTCCTCTATTATGGGTTACTGAGAGGAACATGCTCAGGTAAATGAGCAGCAAAGCAATACAGGCTTATTACTGATGAAGATATTGCTCTCAAACACTAATATAAATGTCTAGTCAGCTAGACAAGATCTTTTTTTTTTGGTATTTAAATTTTTTTTTTATTAGTGAGACACCATGAGGTACAGTTGTAGACTTACAAATTTTTGTTCTTGGGTTTCAATTATACAATGATCAAATACCCATCCCTCCACCAGTGCCCATTTCCCACCACCACGGATCCCAGTATCCCTCCCACCCCCCAGCCCCCCAATTCCACCCTGCCTCTGTGGCAGGGAATTCCCTTTTGTTCTCTCTCTCTTATTGGGTGTTGTGGTTTGCAAAAGAGGCAATGGGTGACAATCAGGTTTGGTCTATGGTCTACTTTCAGCATGCTTCTCCCATCCTGGGAGGATCCTCCCAACACCTTTTATTTGGTGCTCCCTTCTCTATCTGAGCTCCCTTTTCCCCTAGCATGTGTGGCTGGCCTCAAAGCCATGGAGTAAAATTTCTGGTACTAATCTTGGCCATTCTTGGGTGTTAGTCTCCTGTTTTGTTACTTTTTGGCTGTTAACCCCTACATGGCTTATACTATGTAGCCAACAGCATTGGGTGAAAATATGGGTAGTTAAGAGAGGAGGTGCCCCACACCCCTGAGATCAGCTGCAGCTCCAGAGAGAATGTATCCAAAAGAGGGACAAAAGATATTTTGTTGAGGGGGAGAATTCCTGAGAGGAAGGAGTGGGGAGAGGGAGAGGGAGAAGGAGAGGAGGAAGAAAGGGAGAGGGTTCTTTGTACAAATTCTTGGGAAGGCAAATGCATAAAAAGATAACAGAGAGCTAGAACATCATCAGTTTAATAGAAGCCTAGTTAATTTTCCACCATGGAAATGGGGAATTATACCTGAGTCCCAGAAACTGTCTTTTCATATTAGAAGCAGTTTTCCAAATTCCATGACACTGGAGAAAAATGGGAGTTGGGGACTCCATTTTATCTCTCCTCTCCTCTGTCCCTCTACTGCGGCACTGGGGATTATCTGGCTCACAGGACAGAAAAGACTCAGGAAATCCTGTGGTCTGGTCCTGGTACATGACAAATCAGACAGGTGTGTTTCTTATGGACAGACTCCCTGTAGCCTATCTGCCTATATTGTATGGTGTGAGTTATGTAATTATTATCCAAATGGTTGTTGGCAGAAAAAAATTTTCCTTAACCTTTGTCTATTGCTTCATTTATCTCTGACTCTCATACATAGAGTTGAAATGCAAGGCAAATTGACTGTTGCTCTTCAGAATCTTTTAGATTTATACAGAAAAGGTGGCAGGAAATGATAATGCAGAAAATGGAAATAGCTTTATCCACTAACAGTGCTGGTAAACATTTCTAGAACATTAATGTGCTGATTACTTCATTTAATTTTCATCAGTAATACAATTCAGTGAAAATTTAAATTCTGGTTCTAAATAGGAATGTAAAGTTTGTGTTCAATTAATTAACCAGTGTTATGATTAGTGCTTGATAAATCACCTCTAGGTAGATTTGTTTGTCTTGACTTTTGGAATCACCTATTACTTGCCTCAGTCAAAGGCATCTTATACCTGCCTGCATTGTGCTCTCTCTCAGTGTGGTTTGTCTCCCTACTGAGAAAGGAGTTAACAGGACATGAAATCAACATGGCAGTCAGTAGTTAATCAATAATTGTTAAGGGATGAATTGAAATGATATGATGGTAATTTGAATCTCGGGCATCCATCATTACCTTTTTTTTAAATGCTCTTTTCACTAAGTGATTTATCCAACCAATTCTCTGTAATGTTCTCTAATGTTCTATAGTAATAAAGCTCTTCACAATGAGCCCAAAGTCACAATTGTTGGTTGCAGAGCTGTGGCCTCCTCTAGGCAAAGGTTTGATTTTATTCTTCTAATTTGTGTAGTTGTTTCTCCATTATTTAATATTGCTTTATTTAATCAAATAAGCAGATGGATATATCAAAAAATGAACATGAGTGACGTTTCCAGATTTCTACACTGATGCACAAAAGTAAAAGGTGAAGTTGGGCACAGTGCTTTGTGTGTGTGGAAATACAACAAAGCACCATAAAGGAGCAGCTCTCAGTGGAGTTATATGGCAAAATATAGGGGTAGACTCAGCCTGGGCAAAGCCCGCCAGCTGCCAGCTGCTGCAGGGCATCCCAGCTCCACTGCTTCTACCTTTGTGAATTACTCCATTTGTTTACCCAGAATAAAAAAGAAACATTCCAGAAACATTTCAGCAGTGTAGGTTGCCCATGGTTTCAAGGACTGTTTTCAGTGAAATTTTAAAAACCTGCAAAATGTACAGCTAACCCAGTGCCTTTCCAGGAGCATAACTGAAGTTTTCTGTTGTGTTTCTGTAGCTTTTAAAACTGGATGTGCTCAGCGAGTTTCTTCATCTTCCACAATTTCAGTAAAAGGCAATGTTTTTTGCTACACTTACGTATGATTTCTCACCTTACATAGATATAGATGTATGTCAACATATTCTGGGATCCATCTCTAAATCATGCCTAAAGCTATTCACCTCTCCCTTTACTATTGCTGCCCCCTTCTTAAGTTGCATCACTACTTGTCTGTGCTACTTTGATAGCCTCCTACCACCCTATTTTATGACTGTATTCAGTTGAATCTTTTAAAAAGGTAAATGAAGTCATACTGTTCCTTTGCTACCCTTTTTCTTTTTGAGGGGGGACACATGCAGCAATTCTCAGGCTAGCACTCAGGAGTTACTCCTGGGAATGGATTACTCATGGGGGACGGATGCCAGGGATCGAACCTGGGTCTTTGGCCTACCTTCTGTACTGTTGTTCTGCCCCCCCCCCCCATTTGCTTCCTGTTCGATTTGAAGTAAGACTCAAAACTCTTTCTATGGCTTTACCTCTGCCTTTACCTATTTCTATGCCTCTGTTCATATCTTCTGTTACTTTCCTTTTCTTCAGAAACCTCCAGACTCATTGGAAGTTCCAAATAAGTGTTAGATTAGTTCTTGCCTTACAAGAGGAATTTTTCTGATTATTTTGTTTGAAAACTCTTCCTCCATTATTGTTTGGTAGATTCTGTATTCTCATCAAGCAGAGGCACAGCCAAGTTCTCTCAGGAGGCATAAGCCTGCGAGATGACACGAAAGAGGTTGGGAGGAAGAAGGGAGACTCTGTGCCTTGTTCGGTGAAGAGCAAAGATGAATGGTCCTTACCTAATATCTCCCTGCCTCAACACCCCCTTTCATGTTTCATGTTCTGAATTTTGCCATCATAGTCTTTCTTACTGTTGTGTCAGTTAGGATATATTTTGAAAAATTGGTTGAAACATTGAGAGTAGACTCAGATCATGATTTTATATTAAAAGCTACATTCTTTTAAAAAATTTTTTTAATTTTATAAGGTGGTTCATAATATTTGATTATAGTTAATATTAAATACCAATCCCACTACCATTACACCTTCCCACCACCAAATTTGGGATTTTCCATCCTAAGCCCCAATACCTGTCCCAAAGCACAACCGAAATAATATATTTTGTATTGTTTGCTATGGAAAAAAACGCTGAAAATGCTACAAAAAAGTATCCATAGAGGAGACAGTGTGAAGATTGTTCTACTTTGGCAGGGGCCATTAAGAGATTCTTTAGAATCCACTAACATGTTAAAAGTTGAGTGATGTGAGCTTTTCTGTGTATATATGCATATATCCCTCTATGATTTGTTGCCTAATATTTGAACCCCATAAAATGTGATATGGTACTTATGGAGAATGGTTAGGGAGTGTCTTACAATGTGTCCAGGAATGCATTCACTTGTACGTGAGGCTCAGCCTGAGCATATGGGGATTGGCCTTGAGCATGGCAGTGGTTGGGTTCTAGAGGTTTTCTGCTGCTGGGGCTGGATCCCTTGGGTTAGGGAGGGCTCTCACCTGCCCCCATCTGGGGCTCCCCGAGTGAAACAAAAAGCTACATTCTTTTAATTTTTCTTTTAATCTTTATTAGTGAGACATCATGAGGTACAGTTGTAGACTTACAAATTTTTGTGAAAAAGCTACATTCTTAAAGAAGCTTTCCTGGTCCTTATTTTTAATATTCATTCTCTCCCCCAATCATTATCCGTTCATTACCCAAATTATGTTTCAGATGCTTCTTGTTACCAGTTGCAATTGTCTGTATTTATATTAGCTCCAAGGATTTCTAATTCTTTTTCTCTATCTCTATTGCCTAGGACAAGGACTGGACACTGATAGAGTTTAAACTCTATGTTTAAACTTAAACATAGAGTTTAAGT